CAGAGTGATGGTGTGGGGAGTAAAAATTACATATCTCTGCATCTAGTTGCTTTGGCATACAATGCAGAGGTAGTATTCAGCCGGTTCTCTCCGGTTCAGGCAAACTAGTAGCGGTGGCTACGTGAGGCTCAGCCCACCCACCCTGACGTAATGTGTGAGCACTGCACATGCGCAGACGTGATGCGTGCATTCACATTTGTGAACCTGTAGGGAATGTAAGTGAATCCCACCGCTGGTGCAATGCCCTGTAGTGTCATCTTGAAGAGTGTGAATGGAAGTCCAAGTTGCAACTCTTTTGAAGCAGCCGTATCTTAAACTCCAACAGTTGTGCAAGTCTCCAAAAAGACACGGCTGCTTTAAAGAGTTGAGTATATATTAATGCTCCCAGGTGCTCTGAAGTTCTGTTTTGGATTCCGCAACCCTGTCCGCTAGGTCTCATAAGTTTTGGTATTCATGTTCCTATTGGAGAGGCGAGGGTTGGAAAATATTCATGAATTTCTTCCCAACTGAAAGCTTCCATTTATTAGTGGACACGTGACTCAGCGGAATGACTTGAGAGAAAGAGGCTTGGCATGGACAGCCTGTTCCTCATCAGGCTGTGGAAAGCTGTGTGTCCAGCCTCTTTTTGATGGAGCTTGTTCTCCCTCGCCAAGCCGAGTGTGTGAAAAAGCCAAGTGTGCTGGCTGCATCAGGAGGCTTTCCCACTGAGACTTGAGCCTGGACTCTTCTTTCACCACCCTGGCCACGTTGACCCTTCACGCCTTGATGGGCAGTTCCCATAGTGATGGATTAAGAATGGGGAGGGTAGGTGGCATTGTTCCCTTGCGAAGGCCTGAAATTGTTGTCTGGCAGACTCATTTTTGCAAAACTTGGATGGTTGAGAGGCCCAAGTTTCTTTCTTCCTTCTTTTCGTTCCCACCCTTCTCTGGCAAGCCCCTCTCCCTTGCCTTACTCAGTAAATTGCTTTCTTGTTCCGTAAAATCTATTATTTCTTTTTCTTATCTTTTGATCATTAACATAAACCTGACTTAGTGGATGAGTTTGCGCAACACTGCAGCTAGTTCTTGGTTTACAACCAAGTGCAATGTCACTAAAAAAAAGGGCACTTATTATAGGTCCTCACACACTGGCGACTGCTGCAACATCCCCGTAGTCATGTGATCAAAATTCAGGTGCTGTGTTTGCAGCTCCAAGTGGGGAGAAAGACACTGGAAATATGTAGGCTGATTGGAAAGATGGTCTATTGATGGAGAGGACCACATGGGTTTGAGGTCCTGAGCAGCTGACCACATGGAGTGCAGAGTGAGCGGTATTGCTGCCCTCTCTTGGGCTTTGAACTTGAGCTTCCTGTTCCTGTGCAAGAGTATGTCTTCTATTGGCTGCTGTCAGACTCCCGTGGTGCTATGCAGAGGTCATAGCTGAGGTTGTCTGAGATAAGTTTGGTTGAACCTTGCTGGGTGATGCAATGTCCTTAGGAAATTTTGCAGTCAACCCTGCTGCTAGATGGGTAGAGGGCTAATCCTATTATGTCCCAAGGGGTCATGTCTTAATCCCATCACCCTGGAACTGGAAGTCTTTTGTCTTGTATGATAACCTGGCCCAGTCTTTCTTAATGTGACCAAAATATCAGCTGGGGCAGGGAACTGAACTCTGAGTTTCTGTCTCCCTTAAGATTTCTATTTCTCTTTTAGGGGAAATATAATATTCAGCGGTTTCATTTAATGACAGTGTAATTCATTTAACTGCAGTGATTCACTTAACAACTGTGGAAAAACAGATCATAAAATTAGGTGCGGCTCACTTAACGATCCACCTTGCTTAGCAATGGGAATTCTGCTCCTCACTGTGATTATAAGTTGATGACTGTACTAAACCAGAATGAAATGAGGTTAGGTAGTTTCTGATTCAGTGAGCCGTGTGAATCCAAGCATTGTCCTAGCATATTTTGTGAACTAGGCCATCAGAATAGGATAGGGATTATCAAACTTATACCCCTTTAAAAGAAAAAGAGTGTGTGGGACTCCTTCATGAATAGAAGACATGATTTCATTGGGGCTAGAGCTGGCCAAGAAATAAGCATATCAGATAGTTCTAATAATAATTTTAAAAAATAGTTTTTGTGTTCTCAGACCTTGAAGTAATGCAACACACTGCCAAGCTTGTGCAGGGAAAGTTGAGGGCGAAGCCCAGAATGAGTTTTGACAATGCTGTTGCTTTGTCTGTGCACGCCAATTCTTTTTAATTGTGTCCCCTCTAAATTGTTTGCAATTCCCAGGATATGTGTGTGTCATGATGACCCACTTTTTGAGAATGCAGCCAGGGTCCTATATTAGAGCAATTTTTCAGATACAGCATGTTATGTAGACAGAGCCTTTTTTGGGGCGTTAATATGTTCAGTTTATTGTATACATCCAGCCATTGTGTTCAACCATTTGTGGTCCCATCCAACTGTTTTGTGGCTCTCAAGATGTTGGACTTCAGTTCCCATCAGCCTTAGCTACCAGAGTCAAATTTGGGGGGGGGGGGGGGGATGGGATCAGTAGATGTGCAGCAAGACCATTCCATTTTATTCATATTTTCATTGGCTCTGCAAATTTTGGTTCAAAACTCCTTGCCTGTAATGAGCAAAGATTAACTGGTGGCTCGTTGAATCAAGATTTTATTTGC